TAATTCTTTTTGAGTGAGAGTTATAAAAATACCGAGGAAAATAAATTATTTCTCCCTTTGGGAAACACAGCATGAGATAGTTTACCACCAAGCCAAAGCTGATAGAGTCTATGTTTCCAATCAACTTTTTTTTTTGTAGGAAATGCTATTGTAATTTATTATTTATACTCCTTATGTCTTAAAAAGCAGGTTCCAGTGTCATTTTGCTTGGGAATACATAAAAGAAAGATGAGAGAACCTACTATACAGTGACCTTTATCTTAATACAATATTACCAGAACACTGAAAAATTTAGAGTTTTCAAAAAGAGTAGAGAGAAATCCATTTTCAAAGCTTGAATCAGTAAATGTTGAAAAAAATCTTTACAAATAACATTATTCTTCCCATCAGGTGACACATGTGGATCAATTTACATTTGAATATAGTGATCAGAAAAGATTAAGAAGGGACATATGTTTTGCAACTATATAGTGTGAGATAGAGTAACTGTTTTGACCCACCGGATGGTCATTGTAGCACTGGGATGGGATGAAATCCAAGATGACCCTGGTTAGGAAGGGGGATGAAGAAGAGGAGAAAGCAAGATGGAAATGAGCAATGTGTGTCGTCTTTAAGGATCCATCTTTAAGGATCCAAAGAGTACTCCTTACCTGAACTTTGAGTGCTTCTTTAACTAAAAGGAAGAGATCAATACATAAACAAGAAGAAACTAAGGCATTTTAAAGGAACTCTAACCTTTTTATCCTGTGGGTTTAATTAGGATCTGACCAATTATGTCATCCACCAAAAATGTATTGAATGTCTGTTATATGACTCACATGGTGCTGGGGTTGGGAAGAGCAGAAAACACTGTTCTTAACCTCAAAGAGTTCGCCATCCAGTGGGAGAGACAGGTGGTTTCACATTCTGTTATTGCATTGTGATCAAGGCACTGAGGTGATGAAGAGCTTAGATTCTGCAGTTAAGCTTCCTGGATATGAATAGTATTTCTACTTTAGAGCTGTGTGATGTTGGGCAAGCTATCTTACACTTCGGTGCTTCAGTTTCTTTATCTTTAAAACAGTGCTAATTAAAGTATCATCATCATATTGTTGTTATGAAATGAAATAAGTTGTAATACACATAAAGGTCTTGATAGTATCGGCTTGTGATTTATGTTCCTGTTGAATGATGTATGTAGCATGCTGTGGGAACATAGAGGAAAGGTATGAGACTCAGCCCAGGACGCAGCATAGAATAGGGCTTTCCAGTTGAGATGAGATTTAAATGGGGCTTTGAAATAGTCTAGTAGGACGTACACAGGTATGCAATGGTGAGAAAGTGTAAGACAGCATTGCAAACACGCAGGGAAGAGATATCACTTAGAGTTTGGATATTTGGAGAAGTCAATGTATAGAACTGAGACTATAGTAGGGAATTTAGATTTTTATCTTGAAGACTCTCCTGTTTTTATCTTCATGCATGCTGGTCATCTCTTTCTGTTTTCTTCAAAAGCCTTACATCCGCAGCCATTAATTTCTTCACCTCTATTCAATTCTACACTTGGCTACAAAGTAATTTTGTTCAAAAAACACATTTAACTAGGTTATCTCTATGTACAACATGAATTTTATCCCTTGTTATTCTTTAGACCAAATTTAACTGTTTTGGCCTGGTATTCAAGTTCTTCTCTCTGCTGTCCAAAACACATGTAAAAATTTACCTCTCTTATTACAATAGCATTCTAGTAACATCCATGTCCTGTTCCTATCTCCCACCTCTCTTTTCAAATTTCATACTAATCTCTGATCTTGCTCAAGAAGTTTCCTCTTTGGAATTTTAATATATCCAGATCAATTTGAATTTTTTCCTTAAGAATAGCCTCAACTTCGAACACGCTGAAGAAAAAGAAAATTTGTTTAACCAAATCTCACACGTGTTGATATGCTTCCGGCACCACAGTGCCTTAGTGTTCAGCTTCACAATCACATACTTTACTTTAAACTGCTCTTTCCCTTCATTCTCTTTCCATATTGTTCATACGTTACTTGTGAGTGGAGGTTTGGCCTTCTAGGTATCTTACTTTCTAGTGTATGTACATCTATAGTATCTTGTACAACAAATAACCCCCAAATATTTGTTGGATGAATATATTATATGTAAAAATATATAAAACCTTCTTAATAACATGCCAAGAAAATTATGTGAAAGTTCCATATATCTTTTGAAATTAGTTACTTGTTTCTTGCGAGCTAAATTAGAAGAGAATCAAGATTATATTATGGCTTATATTTACTTAGGTATATATAGTTCACATAGACAGGTAGAACACTTATAAAAAGTATTGGAATTCTTTCAACTGAGTGACTGTTAAAGATGAACTTCCATTATAAAATGTAGGTGAAGACATAGAGGAATTGTGAACTTAGAGTAAACCACTGGACATTAGAGTTTAGGAGGAAGGGAACAACCATTTAGTTAATATCTATGGTGTGCCAATCATCACAGCCTGCTATTTTCTTCATAAATTATCTAAGTAACTCTTTCTAATATCTCCTCCCAAGAAAAGTAATTATTATTATGGCCATTTTATAGCCAATGCCACCATGGCTCAAAAACTTAAGGAGTCCTTTCAAAATCTTACATCTACGTGATGAATTTGGGATTTGAATCTATATCTATCTGACTCTTGAGCCCAAGTTCTCTGAGAGGTTATTAGAATGGCAGTATTTAGAGGTAGGTTAAATAAATTGACAATTTTGGACAAGTAACAAACTTTTTTGGTCCTAGTTCTTCATTGTTATGAGCTTGCCCTAGATAATTTCTATAGCTTTTATAACTCCAAATACTTGTGAAAAGAGGCAACTGTTTTCTTTCATTCTGTTTTTTGAAAATCACATTTAGAAATCTCATGGCATGGAAAGGTGGAAAAGTTATGCACATCAATGGGTTGTATATTGACTATAGCAGGGACAGATAATTAGAGTGAAGTGTTTGTGAACTTTTTCTTTATATATCTCTTATTGTTCGACATAGTGAAATAGATATTATCTTTGTAAAATAAAAATCTAATAAATGGAGGAAAAACTAGCATTTTGAGTAGTGATTTGATTAAATTCAAATAACCAGTCTCTTTTTTATTGAATATTGATGACAAAAGTATATAAATCTTAAATTTTACTCAATGTACTTTTTTGCTTGGGTAATGCTATTCTACAGTATCTCTTTGCACTCAACTCTCAACTAGTATTCATGTTAGAGAAGAGTAACATGATTCTAGAACCATGTCTAGAATACAATTGTGTTGAGTACTTGCATTTACTTTCATTACCCTAAAAGTGAAAATAGCTAATGTCAAAATATACTTACTATTTTGGAGACCATAAAGCTGTTAATAAATGTACTATACTATTAACTATCATTTGATATAAATAATGGTAATTTTACTAGACTTTCAAGTCCTTTACTTATGAATAGTGTGCAACAAATTATGATAATATATGAAAGAGAAAAGTCTGGAATAACATTTATGTATAAGAAAGTTAAATATGATAATTATTAAAATTTCCTTCATGTCCTAAGGAATCTAGTTAAAGTGACTGGGTATTCTTGAGTAAACTACAACCAGTTTGAACCCATAACCTGGAATGGACTGAGTGCAATGAAATACCAATACATAGAATACTCTAATCATGATCAGTTTAAACGTTTTTTCCCCATATTGATTTCTTTTACCATTTGACTATTGTAGAGAAGGAATTTGGGTTAGTGCTAATAACTGAACGTTCTTCTCTCAGTCACACTGAAAACTAGCTATATCTTCTTTTGCTTAGGAGGTTCTGAGCACCTTTCACAGAACTTGGTTAGATGAAATGAAAATCTTTCATATCAAGCCATCAGTATGACAGACACTCCAAGGCACAAACTGCCATTACATTTAAGGAGAACATTTTGATATATGAATTTATACCCTCAGGGTTCAGGTCTGGTTTGTAGGACATCCTAATTAAAACTAGTCATTTGAGAAAAGAGACTCAAAGCAGAGATAAAAATTAACTCCAAATTACTTAAAAATATAGGCATATAAAATACATATGAAATACTAAGGACACTGGAAAAATAGTCTTTTTTTTTTCTACCTTTGACAATAGAGTATGACAAAAATTCAGTTCTCTTTGGGGTCTTGCAAACAAAAAAAAATCTAATAAGCAGAGAACAAAATGGGAATGGTGCTCTACAACAAGTAGGCCCAATGCTTATTCTTAATATATAGACCACAGTTTAGAGGTGTGTCCCAGTGGCACTTGCATTTCCACGCACTAAACATAATTCTAGACTATAGTTAAATGACTCCAAATATAGGCTAATCAGGCACACCCACATAAAAAAATCACAATATTTAAACATTAACTTTAAATAAACACATACGCTACAAAAAATTCTTCAGAAAACATTTTGTAATAACACAGAAGAAATGCTTAAGGGCAAAAAAAAAAAAAAGGTGTTAAGCATGCCCAAAATACTTCTGAGGGAAGAGATTATTGTGAAACCTTAAAGATATTGATCAATAAGCCAATTGGTTATTTATTGACCACAGTGGTACTTAGGCTAAGTCAATTATCATATGGTTTCACTTACTTGTGGAGTATAAGGAATAACATGGAGGACCTTAGGAGAAGGAAAGGAAAAGTGAACTGGGGGAAATTGGAGAGGAAGATGAAGCATGAGAGACTGTGGACTCTGAGAAACAACCTGAGGTTTTTGGTAGGGAGGTGGTAGGGGAATGGGGGACCCTGCTGGTGGGTATTAAGGAGGGCATGTATTGCATGGAGCACTGGATGTGGTGCATAAACAATGAATCTTGGAACACTAAAAAAAAAAATTAAATTAAATTTAAAAAATTTTTAAAAATCAAAGGGAAATTTAAAAATAAGTTTTTCCAAATTTAATTTTAATGTAGAATCTATTAAGTATGTCATGTGAAAAGTTAGTATTCAATAAATATGGAGGGTAACTCATACCTTAAATTCCTCCAAGATTTTGTAATTTTTTCCATGATATTCACAAAAGTTTTTCACTTCTTTGCACTCAGGACAGCATCCATTGTGTTCCACTTTAGTACACTTTGGGTGAATTTTAGGGCATTCTGGCTGATCACAAACAGGTCCATCCAGAGCACAGACACATGGACAGTTGGAATGCCCTGGGAAAAATCGTTCTCCCAACTTGTATACAAAGCCGCTGTCATCCACACACCCTTTCCCTCGATAGTCATCAAAGATCAGATTGTCATTACTGGAGGTCTGGTCACCTTCATCAGCAGGATAGTCTTCATGACTGATGGCAGCAGAGGTGACCAATCCAAGGATGACCAACAGAAGTATGCAAGCTTCATGAATATGAAGAGCCATCCCCCTCCTCAAAGGCTTCTGGATGTGCTCCTATTATTAAATATACTCAGCTCCTTCCATGGGAATACAAGAAGGGTAGGCTGAAAATAAATATTTGAAAAAGAACAATTTGACATACATAAAGAGAATATGGATTTATGTAAGCCCATGTTCTTAACCTGTTTATTTGAGACCTATCTGGAAGACACTAAGACCTTAGATTAAGTTCATGCAAATATCTACACTTTATTATGAAGTTTGGAGAGTTTATTCTTGGCAGTATATGCATTAAAATTTGTCCTTTATTTCACTTAGGAATCTTAAGCTCCAATTTACCTTCTGCCTTTCTAAGGTCTGGCTTTGTCTAAACTAAGAAGTGGTTTTATTAAGCCTCAAAAGGTGATTAAAAGTAGTTACAAATGGCTCAAGAATGTTTGAATTCAAATTCTCTGTTGTTCTTTATCACTAAATTGGTGATAGAATATATATGCTATAATTATCTGTATAAAAACTACGAGATTAGTGAGAAAACATCTACTTCTAAAAGGGAGGAGACCAATAGTTGGATATAAATTATAATTGAGATGAGCTAGTACAAAGGCCTTTCTACTTCTTTACTTCCATAACTGGAGAACAACAATGGTCTCAAATGGGTTACTTGTTTCAGAAAACATAAATCTGGATTTTGAGACATAGATAGGAAAAAAAATAGTGCAACCATTTCACAGTGACTAAGAGATAAATTTAATAAATAGTACAAGAGAACTCCATATATTGAAAATAATTTATTAAAAATAAATTTATTTGTCTCATTGTCCATAACTTTATTTTACTCAGGAAGTAAGCTCCTAGTGGGCAGGGAAGATGTACCTGTGATTTTTTTTTTTTTAATGGCAACTTGAACCTAGTGTTCATGGACTACCACTTGAATTAATTACTTCAATATAAAATATATACCATTCATATTGTCTTGAGAACATCTTTCTTTTGACATCCCAAACATATTTGCATTTAGTCAATTTTCACAAAAATGCCAATATAAAACTGTTTATTGAAATTCCTTAAAATGATAATGTTGTGTTGCCATTCACAGAAAATATGTCTGATTAATTTGGTGACATTGAATCTTATAAGCTTCATTTAGTGTTAGTGGTTGGTGTGGAGTATTGGTAGTGGGCTTTTATTTAAATGTTGAGAGTGACTAACTTATACAAAGGCTCTGGGGAAACTGTGACTTTAGAGAGTAATAGATAAGAAAAAGTGTTGTCAGATAGTTCATTTGTCTATTTAAATGCTATTGGCTTTATGCCAATATTGCTTAGATTGTGTATAGGATATTTTCAGATAATTTATAAATGTTATTTGTTGGTATATTTTCAGAATATAATGAATAATGATAAATCATCCCTTTTCAGTATAACATATACAAAGGATAATTCAAAAACAAGGTAAAGATGGCTTAAGGACACTTCATCAACTATTATGTTGTTTGCATTTTAAGTAACATATGCAAATTGTCTTATGCAAAGTAATAGTAAAATGGAAGGTAGTATATTTATGCCTTCCTTTAAGAGAAAACTGATCTCTGATATTAGAATTCCTTTTGGGTAGGTAATGATAAAAGAGATAGATATATTTTAAAATATGTCAAAAATAATGAGTCATGACAGAACAAAAAAAATGCAAACCTATAATTCTACTTGAGAAGCTGGAAACTCCCTTTGACAAAGCATTTTTTTTTCTCTTAAATTACTACAGAGGCCACAAACAGAAGCTTCTGAAAAGAGCATAAATATATTTTTACTGATTAAGCCATGTATTATAAATCTCTCACATATTTAGAAAGTTTATTTGGAAGAAAGGAAGCTATTGTGCTTCCTTATAGTATTCCAGTAGTGTTTGCCAGTACATGCAAGATAAGCCATATGAAATACACATATCATTCCTCTTCAAAAGGACAGAGACAGAAATTGATCTCTTTGCAAGCTACAGGTAGGCATTAATATATTGTATTGGGTTGTGGTAAATGTAAACCTAAAGGTAAAAATAGGGGTGTAATGTGTACTTTATATAAGCCTTAAATATGTTTTTATTATATGAAATACAATTTAAAATCTGCATGGAGAAAACAGGGTTTTCTTTTTAATAAAACAAAGTTCTTCAGTTATTAAAAAATCCCTTTTCATAATTGAGATGCTCCAGTGTAGTTAAAAACACTATTTAAGAGAAGAAAGGTTAGAGAAATGAAATAAAATGTTTATCTGAAGATTTTCAATAAGTAAGCAAACACTGCTAAACTGAGGATCACTTTCTAGCTAAACTTTCCCCCCTCCCCATATTGCTACATATGATTTAAAATGACTGCATCTATTTCTTTGAGAAAACAAACATAACTCATGTCATAAGATACACTTACCTAATCAGTCTGGAGGTTAATGGTGGTGGTGGGAGTCATAGACCAATATGAACTAAAAGATCAGGTATGTTTTAGGAAAGCAGTTCCTCTTTAATTATCCAAAGAATACATTTTCAGGCATGAATTAAAGGTAATCCATTCTCTCTACCTCCCATTTCAAAACACAGTCAAGAAGCAGTCTCCCGCCCTTCCAGAGAGAAACACAGCAGACACACATAAGAAATATGCTTTGGACTTGTCTTCGGAATTCAAAGCAAGAAGCAATGCTGGTCCTGTAGAAATCCAGACCCCAGTAGCAGAATCATGTTGAACTTATTTTTAGCATTTTCTCAGATCCTTCTATGAAATTTACCGGCTGATTACGCCTCCTCCACACATGAGTTCACTTACACAGTGTTTGGTACGGCAGTAGAGGTGATTTGGCTAGGCTCTGAGGATCACAAACAGCAATAGCATACTGTAGCTTAAAGCCCACTCCGTGGCAGTACCATCAGCATCATCCACAATATGTTGCTTGAATCCCCTCTTACACACCAGAAAATACTAACTGTGGACGTGAAGGAAAGGAGCAACTTTAGCTGGGTTTCTGCATCACTGAGAGCAGTTTGCAGACTGCTGATTTGGAGCTCATTCGCCGGCAGCCGGGAATTCCTCAGCACCACGGACAGCGCCAACAACTGGCTTCTGAGCCCAGCTTGGTCGAAATCCGGAGCTGCTTCTTTAGAGGAGGCTAGAGTGTTCTCTAAAGCAGTCGCACTTTATACAGCTGATGCATGCATTAGGAGTGGGAAAGACATTTTACATGCGAGATACTTATTGGCATTGAAATTAAAAATAAAAAATACAAAACATTGTAATTATACCTAATGCATTCTTAGATGGGCTGCAGAGATGAAAGTTCTGGAAGAGCATTGCATCTAGATTTAAGCCATCTGCAGTCTTGATTATTATTAATAGATAAAACATAATCATTGTCAAAGAATCTCTGAAACTGTATGCTCCCCGCTTCTATTCGACCCTTTGGTTGCAGAAAGACTTTCTCCATGCTACACGATTAAACTTCAGGTCTTCCTGCAGCGTGGATTTGATTAAAAAAAAAAAAAAAAGTAGCCCTGTTCTGCAGTTTGTTCTCTAACATTCAAAATCAAACTCCTGTAATTCATCTAGTCTGTCATTAGGCGTCATTGTAAAGCTGTTTCTTTCAAAGCCCTAGCAAAGATGTTCTGTCTCTAAATTCTTAAAATGAAAAAGAAAAAAAGACCCAGACACAAATAAATGAGCAAGAAGTTTTTTTTTTTTTTTTATTGGTAACAGTTTGAGCACTAAAATACATGTCTAAAGCATGTTTTAAAGCAAATTGTAAATGTTACCTGCTGGCATATTTAACCAGATAGTTCCTGGTTTGGGACTGACTACGTAAGGTATTTTCAAACCTTAAAGGGGATGCCGTCCATAGTTGGATACGCTGACCTCAAGACCACGTTCGAACAGTGCCATCAGAGCCTCCGGAAAACAAATACTCTCCATCATGAGAAAACACGACTGTATGAGCCTCACTCTCATGGCCCATCAATTTGTGAATCTGCCCTGATTTAAGATCTAGCAAATGGATAACCCCACTGCCACTCGCTTGAGCTAAAACTCGACCTGAGAGAGAGAGAGAGAGGGAGAGAGAATATCAAAGTTTAATTTCAAGCAGTCACAGTTTCTAAGCAATGAAATACACAATTTAGTTTCAATTGTAATTCTAGAGACTCACATGAGATGTCAGTCATTAAATATAAGCTAACTCTCATTTGTATAGGAAATAATTCCAGTCAAAATTAAGACATGTCAATGATTATAAAATTTTAAAATAAGGAAGTAAAGGCTAATACCCTACCCACTTTATCAAATGACCTCCTAGTTTCCTTATATTTGGAATTAATAAATAATTTTGAGAAGATGAGGGTGAAAACAACTAAGCAATGCAGGTTTCTTTTTCAACTGAATTATTTGTAAAAAAAATATCTAAAGCATAGGTTTAAAATCTATGTCCCTATATAATGGATAATTTACATGTTAAATTTTGCATTATACTTTAACTTGTTATAATTATGCTAAATATTTACTTAGTTATAATAATATACATTTATGCTTTAAAATCCATGACACTTATGAACTTTTTTTGGAGTTGAAGTGAAAATAAATACCTCCAGTTCAAGAATGACTTGGGGTTTTTACTCTAATTTAAAATTCAAAATTCTATTAAACTAAATTTATATTACATAAGAGCTAAATATAGTACAGAGTACTCTCATAATTTTTATACTGTATAATTTTTAGTGAATAATTTCCTTCAAGTGAAAAATATATCAGCAATTGAATTCTAATGCTTTTATTAAAGAGGTCTGATAACAAACTATCAGGGAATTTAGAGGTAAGTAAAAATAATGGAATATGTTTACATAAAGTCAGTATGTGAGGCAAAAGCACAGTAATAGGACTACCTATGGGATTATCTAATCATACTTAGAAGGCATATTATCATTCCAGTAATAATACTTAAAATTGATTTGCCAATAATCTAGATACTAGATTTTGTACCTGATGTGAATAATTCCAT